CAAAATGAACTCAAAAGGATGGACTTTGATTGGCGTTTCTCATTCGAATAGCATGATGGGTTGGCAGCTCAAGTGTAGTACCAGAAAAGGGACCTGGGAGAAAGGGACCATCTCCTAAGGGAAGTAAGGCCAGGTGACAGCAGAAAAGGTGTGTGCTAGAGTCTGAGAAGAGGAAAGGAACCAGTTCTGTTCCTCATTTCCTTCAGGCTATCCAGTTTTTCTCATGAGTTCTAGAGAATGGACTCAATCTGGCTTGATCTCATTTCAAATTGACCCCAAAGTCAGTTCTCCCATTCCAACCAAGGAAGATATTTATGAGAACATGAATTCCCCTCTCCCAACTCCACTAAAATAAGTTTGCTAATGAAAGATGTTTAGTCTTCAGAATGTGTTCGCGCGCACGCGTGCACGCGTGTGTGTGTGTGTGTGTGTGTGTGTGTGTGTGTGTGTGTGTTACTGGGAATTGACACTAGGAGCACTCTACCACTGAGCTGTATCTCCAGCCCTTTTAACTTTTTTATTAAATTTTGAGACAGGGTCTCATGAAGTTGCCAAACATGATCTTGAACTTATGATTCTCCTGCCTCGGCCTCCAGAGTCACTGGATTAGAGAGAGCCACCACATCTGGCTAATCTTCACAATATTCTCTTAAAAGATAAGCCTGGTTCTGTAAGGAAAAGAAAAAAAAAAAAGTAGGTAGTGCTTTAGACCGAGCCACACAGAGGCATGATGCAAAAATGAGAGAGAACATTTTGAAAACAAAATGCCAATAATGAGATCATTGCAGTGGGAACAGGGAAGCAGCAAGCTGAGAAATCACACAACGTCCACAAGCCTTACGTCTGTCTAAGTGGAGGCAAAAATCTGCCAGGCCCAGATTGACTTCATTAGTCATTTAGAAGCATGTACGCAGATCACAGGAAAAAAAAAATATTACCCTCCTCCTCACTGCAAAATAGTTGATTATTGGTATAAATAGAAACAGATTAGAACACCAATTCCTCAAAGCATAAATATTTCATTCACCAACCAGTTGCAATTTTGCCCATGGCGATTAAGAATCAAGTATGTGACACTACCACTCCACAGGTGCAAATGTAATCAACTATAACAGGGAACAGGGGTTGACAAGGATTTAGACTGGAGACAAAGTTTATGCACAGACTGTGTTGTCCCAGCTACAGTCAGGGAGACTGGTGAGAAACAAGCATCACCATCTAACCCTGTGAGTCCTACTTGCTGCTCTTTTACTGCTATATCTACTCAAACCAATGTGATTCTCATTCAGTAGACGTGTCAGTCACCTTCTTGTGACGGGTGTTAGGAATTCTACACTGAACAACTTTCCTCCTTAGCATTGTTGATTTCCTCTCTTTACCTTTCCCCAGATTAACTTTTTTTCCAGAGTATTTATAGTACTTGACATTGTATCTACATTTCTTGTTTATTGCCTCACCTACTAAGATATAAGCTCCATAAGGCAGAGATTTTGATTTTTCCATTGTATGATATTTCCAATATCTAGGCTACTTGAAGCACTCAAAGAATATTGTTCAATGAAAAAGTAGTTTCCTCATGTCGATTATTAAAAGCAGATTTTAAAAATAGGTGTTATGAGCAAATACAATCAGAATTTCTAGTCTAGGAAGTAAAAGAGGCCTTTCTCAAGCAAATGATTTTTAAGTAGGACCCTGAAAAATGAGGAGGAGTTTGGAGAAGGGCATTGTATTAGTCAGCTTTTTTTTTGTTACCTTAGCAAAATACCTGAGGTGATCTACTTTATAAAGAAGAGAGGTTTATTTAGCGCACAGTTTTGGAGACAGAAGGTCCAAGCAGAATGGTTAAGGTTCTGGTGAGGGTCCCTGTTGGCTGCATCACATCATGGTGGGAACACTGTGTGTTTCGCTATGTGGTCTCTCTGCTTCTCCTGACAAAGATACCAGGCTTAAATCATAGGGGCTCCGCCTAATTACCTTATCTAATCTAATCACTCTCCAAAGTCCCTTCTCTTAAACATCACAGTGGATTAACTTTCTACCCTCTTAATATCATTAACATAAAGACTTTGGGGATGAAACTCCTGCATGAGTTCAGGAGACAAACCATAGCAAGGGGAGAGATGAGAGGATGTATCAAGGTGTTCACAATGTTCAAGTAAAGCAAGAAAGACCTGCAACGTGGGAATATGTGAGAGAAGAGGAAGGTTTCAAGAGATGAGGCAGGAGCCCTGGGCAGGAACCAGATTTTACAAAACCATAAAGGTCACATTCAAGAGTCTGAACTTAGATAGTCTAAGAGTACTAAAGTAGTGGCATGATCACAACTTCCAATTTATGGATCTTTGTGATAAGCACGGAAGAAAGCATTTTGATTTCGAGTATTCTGAAACAGAGCAGGCATAGAACAGGGCAAGTATTTCAGTGTGTAGAAAAGAAAAACAATTAAAAACAACAACGACGTAGCCACATTCATTAAGTATATACCAGAAGCACCATACTCTAATGGGTAACATGGAGAGGGTGGTAACAAGAAAAAGATGAAGAGAGTGTAACCCCACAACAGAGAATTGAGGCGCACTCACGGAACAGTTAGAGAATACAAGAAACCACTTGTCTCACTGTCTCTTGTCTTCTTTAAGGCCACCACTGCCACATAAAGCCCTTCCTAGTCTGACAGGATAAACCTTTGCTGGCTCTTCATCCCCGTTTTCTCAACTTCAGCAGCAAGACTCAGACTCTCCAGTTGCAGGGTGAATGTGTCTCCTCCGGGCCTTTTGGGAATGCATGTCATTCTCTCCCTTATGCCACCCATGGTTGAGCTCCTACCCAGGACCCAGCACTGGAATACAACAGATAGTTGACACCCAATAGATACTTTTGGATGGCTCTTAACAATGGAGCTAAAAGGTTACTCTTCTTTGTCCTTTCTAGAGAACACTTACTGGTTATCAATCACAGTGCTGAACACTGTGCCAGGCACAGGGCTGAGGCCTTTCATGCCATTGTGGTTTGGATATGAGGTTGTTCCCAGAAAAGTTCATGTTGTAGGCAATGCAGGAATGTTCAGAGGTGAAATGATCAGATTATGAGAGCTTTCATCTCATCAGTGGATTAGTCCATTCGATGGATTATTGATTTAAATGGACCGACCACTGGATGGTAACTATAGGTAGTTGAGGTGCAGCTAGAGGAAGCACATCACTGAGGGTGTGCCCTTGGAGATTGTATTTTGACCCTGGCCCTTCTTGACCACCTTACCCATCCCCATCTTTGCAGATATCATGAACTGAGCTGCTTTCCTTTACCATATTCTTCCACCATGGTGTTTTGCCTCATCGTGGCCCAAACTAATGGAATCAATGGACCATAGACTGACACTCTGAAATCGTGAGTCTAAAACAAAAATTTCCTCCTGCTAGTTGTTACGGTTAGGATTTTGGTCATAGCAATGGAAAGCTGACTGACACACATGCATGCATTCTTATTTAACCTCCACAGCAATCTCTTGAGGTAGGTATTATGACCATCCCCAATTTACGCAAGGACACCAAGGCTCAGAGAGGTACAGCAACCACCCTAGATTTACTCACAAGGCTCAGAGAGGTACAATGACTTGCATGAGATCTTTCTCATCATGTAGCATGGACATAAACTCAAATCTGTTCCTCTCATAAATCCGTGGTGTGGGCAGGCAATTGCTCAGCTCCTCCTCAAAGGCTTCTTGTTTCTCAAAGCTGACAGGAAAATAACACTCAGGACTCCTAAAGCATTTTGTTTCAACCTGTGTTCGTAGCAAGTGCTGCTTAATTTCTTTCCCACACTATAAGCATCTCAGACGGTTCTTACTTAGCTTGGTATCACAAATGTTGAGCATCCTATTTGATATATGATCAGGGTATAGATTAATATTTTTGAAGAATAAGTTGATGAATGAACAAACCCAAATGTACCTTTTAAGATAATGCATTAAGAAAACCAAACATACACAAATCTAAACAGATAACAGATAAGTTTAGAGAACCATCACTCCTGTTAACAAGGCTACCCCCTTCCCCGTTGTTTCCCACATCTCCACCTGCCACAAGGTTCCTTTTCATAGTGGTTTCTCTGGTAAATTAAAATTTTGGGTTATTTTCAAAATTAAAAATACCAAAATTATGCCATTACATAAAGAGAGAGGGCAATCATGAAGACAACACATGAGTCACGAACCTAGGCACAAGCCAAGAGGACGTGGAGTCCAGGATGAAGCAGAAAAGGGAATTGTTCTCTGCCACCTGCTTCTCCCTCAGAAGCACTGCAAAGCCTCCACCTCATTTAAAAAGGCAGAATGGTGAGAGATGATGCTTTTTTAAATTTAGGATATATTCCGTAGGGATAATTAACACAAATGTACCAAAGGTGAAATTTTTCCAAAGCAACCACTATTCCAAAGTTGGAATCTCCCTGATGAGATGACTATACTAGAAACAACATGTTTATTGGCTCATAAATGACATGTCATCTCACCATTCACAACAGGGGGTCTTAGGGAAATAACTCACCCATTGTGAAGTCAATGTTCAAATCAATATCCCTTGGGGAGAAAAATATTGCTCATTGATGGAGATTGATTTTTCTTTTCCTTAAGAAATTCTCGAGGGGTAAACAACATCTTTTTTTTTCCCCCAGAATGAATGCAACTAAACAAGGCAATGTCAAGACCCACATTTTTCTCATCCTCATTAGCATGACACTCCAAAATTATTAGTATAATTATGAATGCCTTTTGACCTATTGAAAAATAGATTCCAGCTCCATTTCTTTAAAAAAAAATTCTCATTTTAATATCCAAACAACAGGATCTCAAAGACAACTTGGTGCAGGGTCTCTGCTTTACGGGATGCCACCATTGTAAATGAAATACTTTTTAATGTTTTAAAAGAATCAGAATTAATATAAAAACTGAGAATACTAGAAACTAGATTTTTTTTAACTGACAGATTCAATAATGACTAGTTCTTAATTTTTTTTTCACTGTTTCTCCCTTTCTTTCTCACGCCTCTTGCATCCCAAAGTGATTAAAAAGCATAGACCAACATTGACTCTGATTTTTTACTGACTGCCTTCATAAAAGCAAGAAGTTTGAATGAACACAGAAAAAGGAAAGCTGAATTGAATTTATTTTATATTTAGTATGTTGGTTTGGGCTGATGAATATCTAGACATACTTACAAGGCTACCGTAGATTAGATATTGTCTGATGTATAGATTGTCTTCTTAAGCCAAATGTGTGATTGAAAGAAAGCTTGCTTTCTACCCTTTTGGAACTTAAAAGTTGCATAAGAAAGGACAGATGGATGATTTGGGGGAGGAAAAAAAAAAAAGAAATGTCATTCAATTAATGTTTGTTCAAAAGGGTGTCACAGATCATTGGCAGAATTTTCACTCATTGGCAATTCCCCCAAGCAGCCAAAGATTAATTGAGCACCCAGACTACTGGGCTTTCTGAGGAGAGAACAATGATGTATTGGTGATTACAGAGGCTGGGACCCAGAACCAACAGAAGAGGAGCTACATGATCTATCACAGGAATATCACTCCTGGGGGTCCAGCCACCAAACCTAAGATTTTTGTCATTTTTCTTCTGACAGAAATGGACTCACATCAAACCACATTCTTGTACCCCATTCCTCCAGTATCTAAAAGTGCATTTTTCCAAGTGGCTTAACAGTTAAAATTAGAAGCAAAGTTCATTGATTGACAATGTTCATGACCTATAACTTGACCTCAGGAAAAATTCAAACCAGATTGGTATATTTGACTACTGCTTATGATACCAAAAAAAATGCCACATAGAACAACAAGGCAAAGAAAAACAAAAACCAAAAATTTAAAGTGAAAATATTAAGTCTACCTTCCCCCAAATTTGCTTCTATAGGAAGTAAAAATAACCTTGATCCACCAACTGCCAAATCAAATATGTATTAATCTTTTAATTTCTTACAGATTTAAAATTCAAAAATTATTGTCATGCATTGGTGGGGCTGTGTAGTTGCTTCTTACATCAAAAGCCATGTTTGCTTTTGTCATACACTGAAGAAAACAGGGGTCCAGAATGTCTCGGGATACTGGGAATAAACCACAAACTAAGATGAGTGAGGCTGGAAGAAGAATAAGGTTGCAACAGTCAGAACACATCTGGGATTTGATTCAAAGTGCCCCAGAACCAGAACAGGTATCTAAGCTGTTCTGTGTTAGACACACAGCTGAGATTTCCAAATGGGAAATTTCCAGAAGTTACCCTGAGGACTTAACCTGAGAAAATATTTCACTGGCAGACAAGGCATAACTTTACCCCTTTTACCCCTTGAGTGGGTCTGTGGAGGGCCGAGTAAACGGGCCTGGTTCTCAGAAGGTTCGGCTGACCCTTCCCACTGAAGCAAGGTTCTGAAGGTGTCAGCGGGATTTGGCTGACTGGGCCCCTAATGGAGCTACAGTTAATTATTGACTGATTAGGGATTTACCTTATCTTTCCATCAGGAGCTGGCTCAAGACTTAACATGAGCCATTTAGAGCCAGGGGCAACCTACTCACATGCCTCTTTCTGCTTTTCCTTTGGGTTGCTTTAGCTTATCCCTCCCTATAATTCACATTCAGGTCAGAATGGCCAGTGCCCACAGTGCTTAGGAGTTCTCAACACACAGGGAATGGGAGGAGCCAGCTCCACAGTGAGTAGAGACGTGGGCCTACAGAAGTATGCCCTCTGGAAAGCTTTGCTTCTTGCTCCAGGATTTCAGTTTCTGAGAAGAAAAAAAAAAAAAGCAATGACCTTTTGTCTCTAAGAGTCCTGGTGATGCCCATAAGAATCAGCCCCTGACTCTGCAAGGCAGCCTGTCTGCTGAAGACCTCTTGGCAAAGGCAGAGAATCAGCCCAGGCAGCTCAGGCCCAGTTGCCCCAGATAAGAGGTGGCCCGTGTTAATGCACAGGCTTCCTCTGCGCCTCAGCAGGGCCTTCCTTTTCCAAACAGTCTCCCTTTAATGTTGGCGAATGTTGTTTTTCCATTGACTCAACATCTCTGGTGGTAAGCCAGTGGGGAAAGTTGCAGGGGGGAGGGGTTCGTGGGTGAGAGGGACGCCAAAGCCACAGAGAGAGGGACAGCCAGCCACATTTCCAAACAAGCTCTCTCGACACCTGTTTTGGAAAGACAATGACAATCCTTGCTTCCTCTCAACGGAGAGCAGCCTTTCCTTCATTGCTGGGGTCAGTAATGGACCCCTGACCCTATTCTCTCACCAGGGCCCCCTTTAACAAGAGTTTCTTCAATGTGGAAACCTTCAAGCGTTCATAATCTTTCTCTATTTTATTTCACTGTCATATTTGAAGGAAAGCAGGGGTTGGGGGAGTTTTGGAAAAAACATGAAGGAGGGGAAAAGAATTCTAGGAAAGCAAGTCTGGTGATGTAGCTCAGGGGTAGTGCCGCAGTCTGGCTGGGCACAAATAATCGAGCCACCACAAAGCCTTGTAGGTTCAAACAGCAATTCTTTATTCCCCAACTCTCACTGGCACTGCACACACAGTACTTGGGAATACACACCTTCCACCGGCTCCATGCGGGCCCAATCTCCCCGAACCCCGGGGAGAACTGGGGCAACCGAGGCAGATTCCCGGAGCCGCCCTATTCCGGGAGCACGGTCCATATACAACTCAATCAATCCAGCATCACAGCAATTATATACAGCTTAACTCAAATCATCATCTCGATGGTTCCCTGGCATCACCTTTCAACCATTCCCTCTGGCAATATGCCAGGCGTCATTCTGACTCGGCTGTGGCTCTCAACAGGGTAGAGGTTGGTGCTTAGCATGAACAAAGCTATGGATTCCATCCGGAGCACAAAGTATCATCATCGTCATCATTGTCATCTAGTCAAGAGAAGATGGGAGGGAAATAAGTAACAAGAGGGAGAGAAGTTGGAGAAAAATAAAAACAGAAAGGAGGAGGAAAGGACAGATTAAAAGGATCAAGGCATGGAAATGGAAGGCAAAAGAGAGAGAGAGAAAAAAAGAAATCTGAAATGAGAGTTTTCCCCCAAAGAACTCAGTTTCTCAAGCCCCAGGACAGTGCCCAGATTGGGGATGGAAAGCTGACTTCTCAGGGGCTTCTCTGGGCAGCCCAAGGTCAAGGGGCATCTTCAAAACCAAATCTTGATTAGAGCCAGCTAAATGTTTTGACTTGAAGGAGACACTAGGATTAAAAAGCAAAATGGAGCCAGCAAGGGGAAAAAAGAAACAGGAAAAGAAAGAAAACTTTAAAAAAAAAAAACAAAAAACCTCATGGGGGACACAAAGGGAATGATAGAAAACACTTCTGAATCAGCTACTCATCTACTAACAAGCTGTAAAGATCTCCAATGACAACTTGTCACATTAGTTTAGTGAAACTGAAGCAGTACTTATCCCCTTTCCTGTGCTTAATCTCTCCCTGCGTGCCACAAAAACATGCTACCACGTTTAATAGGATTAGTTTCGTTTGCTCTCTCTCCCCCCCACCCTTTTTATTATTTTTTTTTTTACAATTCTATTTTCAGCAGTACAGAGATCCTTGAATTCGTTGACTTCCTGCGGTGAACAGCAAAACCTGGCATGCATAGTTTTTACCCTTTACAGACTTTTTTTGAATCTGAAAAAAAAAAAACCATAATTTGACTATTTTGTACCTTTTCCTCCATTGACTGACTCCTGCTCCTCATGGAAATGTCCCTAGCTTTAGGGGGTGACGGTGTTGATGGTAGAGGGGTCACGACAAAAACCAGAGGTATTTAAAAAGAGAAAAAAGGAAACAAAAAGGGGGTGGGGTGGGGGGCGCTGATCACACCCAATTCCTGCGGGGACTCTGTGGCCTAGCAGAAACTTCCAGCCCAGACCACAGGCTGACCTGGGTTCCACTGTTAGCTCTGCTACTTACTGGCTTGGTGGCCTTGAACATCTGGAGACTGGAAATGAGACTTATTCATACAGTTGGGATAATCCTTTTTCCAGGCTGTTGGGAGAATTACATAAAACATGCTTATTTCCTCAATTCTAAGATTCACTTTTTTCTCGTGTTTATCATGTTCTTGAAATCAGTATGACTTAACAATCAATTGTGCATTTGAGGTCAGTATGTCTCCCTTTTCTCCCAAAGTCCATCTTTAAATTAATGGCTTGTTTTATAATCTACGACACTGTAGAATGAAGAAAATTGAAGTATAGAGTACCAGGCATCTGGCGTAGAGGAAGTGCTCACTAAATGCTGGAAGGATCTATCATCGCTCATTATTACAATGCCCGTTGCCTCCTTGTGATGTTTTTACTGGAAGATCACTGTGAAAGCTGACAGGAGAAGGGGATGTTGACACTTCTGCCCCTCATTCAGAACCTTCTAGAACACAGTTCCTCATTCAGATTTCAGAAATCTGATCAAATCAAACACAGCTAATAGCTGCTGGTGGTGGGTCTGCATCAAAATCATCCAGTCACTCTGCTCTCTCAGCAGGGCCACCAACTACCACGGGGTCAGCAAGGTCTTGCAAACAGAAATGATCTAGTGAATGGAATGACTCCATTTTGTTTGAGTCCCTTTGGGTTATGTACCTTCTCCTGCTCTTTATAGAATCATTACCTGATGATCAGTATTGAAGAGAGAAAGAGGGGCACTCCCCCATTTGATCAGGGAGGGAAAAGGTCAGGACCTAGGGAAGGTATCAACACAGAGGCCTCAGGTGGGAATGGAGGAGGAGAAGCTGGGAGGAAGGAGGAAGGGGCTTAAGGGACACTGTGGTGGCTCTGCAGGGGGGAAACCCCCATAAGCAGAGCCATGCCCCCTGGAATGTTTATCCTCACAGGATGTGACCACCATGGATCTGCTGGGTCCAAGTCCTTCCAGCCAACTGGAAGGATCAACTTCAAAAGTCTGGGCTAGAGGAAGCCAAGATGCCCTTCACCCTGGCTGGAACAGTGGCTAAATTTAGCTTCCCATCTCCCCTTGTTGCTGGTCTCTCCAACTTGCCCCCCAAAAGATACTTCCACACCCTGCAGCCCTGCTTGGAGCTAAGGGGACTCCACACCAAACCTCCACTCTCCTGACTTCTCTGCACCCCGCCCCACCCCGTCTCATCTCCCCTCTCTCTCCATCAATCCAGCCCACCCACATAGGCTCTGCAAGGCACCCCTGTTCTGCCCGCCCCCAGCTGTATGCTCCCCAACCAGGCAGCTCCCTCCACCCTCCACACACTTCCCCCATTCCGCCACCCACCCCCCTATAGTCACTCCCCACCCAGTCATGCTCATCCAGATTCTCCACCCCAATCTCCCCACTGGCTTCTATCCCCTGCCTACCCCCAAGTGTGGGCAAATGTGCTCCTCCCCCCAGGATGGTACTTGTAAAGGAGAAGACGAGGCTGCCACTCCTCTGCTCCAGCCTGTTCCCAGATACATGTGTTCCTCTCTAGTTGTCTTGAGTTTCCTTTGTTTTGTTGCTTAGAGTCACAGACATTTCCCACCTGAACACAGAGATTAGTCAAGAGAGCAGGAACCTTCCACCTGTCCAAAGACACTCACCAGCATTTCAAGATAGGCATTGAGGGGAGGGAGGTGCTCCTACTTCTTCCCCTTCTAGGAGTATAGTGCTCCATCCCCACCCGTGAGGTTCACTCACCAGGAAAGGAGAGGGTGTTTATAGGTGCCCCAAGCTGGCAATCCCTTCTTGATCCCCTCCCCAGGAATATGTGATTACTTTCTCTCAAGCTTTCTGAGTGCACAAGCAAAACACGTTTCTTGGGATGCTGTATTAGTCACTGACAGCCACCTCCACTTCTATAATGGTCAGCCTCCTTGATCTGTCTCTGCTGGTTCAGCCCATTCCATTTCCTTGGCTCTCTTCCACTCACTCTGCTGCAAAAGTCTCAGCCTGGCATGGCACCTTCCTGCCTTCCTTTCCCTGCTCACAGCTGTCTTTGGCTGGCTCTCCCTGCATTACCTTTGGGGGTGCTCCTATTCATTGATTTGAACATAATTTTGTGAAGAATTATTTTTTTTAATTTTACATGCATTGGGGGAGGTAGGGATTCAACATGTAAAACATCTGATGTATGATATACATTTGGTTTTATTTTACCTAGGAATATTGACTTTTTTTCCCCCTGCTTGTTGTTCCTTCTGGAATAGAACTTTTTGTCCTGTGGTTTCATGGGTCTGATCAGCAGCTTCTATAGGAAAGTTCTGCCATCTATGAAGTACAAGATGTAAAAGGCTCAAAAATAGAAAAGAAAAAAAAAAAGAGAGAGAGAGGGAAGGGGAATAAAAGCAGATTTCAGATTAGTAAATGCCCCTTGTCTTCAAGTGGGCCTGATGGAGAGTTCTAGGTCTGGGAGCACAAGGCCTAGCTTCCAAACATGCACCAGTTCTAATTTATTTATTTTTGGTCTAAAAGGTCTTTGTTCAGGGTATGTATATGAAATGCTCCAGGTAGTAACAATGCATAAGCTAAAACGTAAACATTTAAGTCCACTTGGCCTCAAGAAAACTTTGAGGGTAGAGAAAGGTCAATACAAGCATATGTGCACACATTTGTGAACAAAATAGTTTCCTTATCTTGAACATCAATCATGGGCTGAACAATTTTGCTTGTGTAAAAAGAAGTCTCTCAATAACTATGATTTGGCTATTATCCCCATTTTACAGATAAGGAAAACTGAGGCTCAGGTTAACACACCCAAGGTCACAGTCAATAACTGCTGAGCAGTAATTGGGGACATAGTGTGACTACCAGATTTGCAGGTCCTTCTGCTTATCTTCTACCTGGGCTCAGAAATCTATTTTATTTTATTTTCTTAAAGCTCCCGTGGTGATTCTGATGGTTAGCAGGTCCTTGGAACCACTGCTCCACATCAAACCGTCCAGCTCTCCAGCTATCCCTGTCGCCAGACTTGCCTTTGAGCAGTCTACTCCTCATTGGATAAAACATTTAAAACATATTTAAATAGCAATTTCGAAGAACTATGCAGCATATGGATTTTTCCTTTTGATCTCAAAATGATGACAAACAGACACTTAGATACTTCATAAAAGAAATATTACCAGAAAAATTATAGAAATCTGGCTTTCAACTTGGTCTTGCTCTAATTTAAACAAAATGCAACTTTCCAGAGTTACTCTCTCCCCGAATAAATCCAAACTGGGAGCCTAGCTTCCTTCTCTTACCCCTCGCTGTTCTGGCCTATGCCTATTTATTTCTACCTGGCTCCTCATCCTGAATAAAAGCTTTGTAAGATAGACAGCATGGGTAACTTAAGTCCTATCACCCAAGCCCCAGAAAACAGAGCACCTCCTTGGGATTCTCGCCCTTGACCCGAAAGACCAAAGAAAGGCAAGATGAGAGTCACGGCCAAACATCCTTAGATTCATCGACAAAAGGAGGACGGTGGGCCGAAGGGGAGATCTGTGTCCCCGTCCCTCCTGCAGTCCCTAGAGCTAGCCCCTCTTCTCAGGTCGAGCACTTCCACCCCGTGTGGCGCGCCACCACCGCGATGGCCCCCGCAGCAACAGGCAGCCGGAGGGGGAGGGGAGGCGGTGGGGACAGCGCGGGCCAGGCTACGGCCGACGTTCCCCGACCGCGGCCGACGCTCCCCTGGCTCGGGAGCGCACCGGGAGCAGGTGGCTGCCCTCTGTGCCCCGGCGCGCGCCGAGCCCGGGCGACTGGAGCCCGGCGGCTTTCCCTGCGGCGGTCTAGGAAGAGGCAAAGAACGCGGGAACCTGGCGGGGACAGGCGAGGCGAGTGGCCAGGGCGGTGTGGACCCCCACGGGCCGCGCGGGCCACTAGACTCGCCCTCCGCAGGGATCGCGCCGCCTCCTCGGCAGCAGCATCTCGCGCTCGCTTTCTCGGTCCCTGAGGCCGCGACACCTAGTGCGGGGCCGCGGCGAGGAAGGGCGGGCGAGGAGGGAGGGGGACACCAGGAGGAAGCCCCGGGAGAGAAGCACCGCTCCCGCCAGGAGAGGAGCCTTCCCGCCCATCCCGAAACTTTTCCAACAATCGCAGGCGTAATCCTCGCAGGTTCTGGCAGCCCCGAGTCGCCATCGGAGAGGAGGCTTGGCAAACACACACACGACCCCCCCACCCCCCACCCCCGGCACACAGGCGGAGGTACACAGGCACCCCGGGAGGGACCGGGCCTCTCGGGAGGTGACTGAGGGCGTGAAGGCAGCAGGCGGCCACACAGCTGAAAGAAACTCCCCGAAAGCCGGAACGAGCGCTTAAAAACCTGCACCAGCTCGGAAGGGTAGCGGTACCCGGAGGTTTTGCGTAACTTTGCCCACTGCGCCCCCGCGTGCAAAGGCGTCCCCTCGCACTCACACCCTCACCCCACCCCACTCCCGCTCCGCTGCGGCCCGAGCCTGCCTTTGTATTTCGGTGACAGCGAAAGATGTGCTGATCTGAACCAGTGGTGGTAGTGGGGGTGGTGTGTGTGTAGGGGGGGACTGTAAATTGGGTGAATTCCACCTCCTGACAGCCCCAGACACGGAGAGAGCTAGCACCGGGTTCTCCCCGAAGGCGTCCCCTCCTCTTCTCTCTGACCTTGGGTCTCCAGCTTTTTCACTATTATGGGTTGAAGAAGATAAAGCACAAGCAGATCGATGTGTGTCTTTTACTGAAACCACAGCCTTTCCAAATCGTAGCCCCCAAAGAGCTTGGTAGGGTTGGAGAAAGGCAAGTTATTTCGGGGAGCAAGAGCACCCCTCGGAAGGTTCGCACGCGGCCTGGCGGGCGCCTAGCCCGGCTCAGCGCGGCCGGGCGAAGTGGCTGGATTATGTAAGTAACAGCCCTCCATGTGCTCACGACCATCTGTTAATATCTTGATATTGGAAAGTTCGGTGCCTGAGGCAAAGCCAGGGTTGGCGGCAAAGAGCTTCCAGCCTACTCCTTATTACTTCAGGGCAGGGAATGTACCTTTCTTTGATCGTTTTCACCCACTTCCATAAAATCAAGTAGTCGTGTGACCCTTAAATCACTGACAACTCCTCTTCCCCGCGGGTGTGTGTTTGTGGGGGACCGGTGATTTTCTTCGAGGTCACCTTATTGTGATGATTCCTTCCAATGAATTTATACTTTTATGACAACTGCACTCCTTTAGGTAAAAGGGAAGATTCTTATTTGGAGGTGGGGGCTTTATTTTATTTTAAAAATTATTATTATTTTTCCCTCCCAGCACCTATGAGTCTAAATTCTTGTAAGGGTTATATTTCAACTTATTTGGAGTGATTTCTCTTGTTTATTTTGAAAGCTGTTGGTTAAACAAACATCACTCGGAGGCTTCTAAGCAATGGGGTTCCCAAGAGAGAAACGCTGCAGCTGCTACTTGCTACTGATCTTGTGGCATTTCACTTTCTCCCCCCCCCCCCATTCAGAACAAATTCAGGTTGGGTTTGGCGTCACACAGGGCACTGGGGATGAGAATGAGAGAGGCCAGCAGTCAGTCTGCCTCTAGGCAACCTACAGCAGGCCTGCACCCAGGGGGTGGTTTCTCTTTGTCCTCCCTTCCTCGGGTTGGTGGTAGTGGTGGTGGGTGGTTGGGTTGGTGAACTGGTGACTCTGAAGGTTCTTGGGCATCCTTCTCTGAAATCCACGATCATGTCTGCCTCTCAACTGGATCTGGTCAAAAATCCCCCAAATTAGTTTTAAGATCTGATGACAGTTGTTTGTAAGGTTTTGAGTTACTTGCATGCACTGCTTTCCCTCCTACCCTTACCTAAGGGCTCTAAGAAAGAACAAGAGGGGGTAATAGACCAAGGAAATGTCAAGGCAAGTGTGTTTAACCCAGAACCAGATGTCTGAGTGATAATTGCAAGAGTTTGACTAAGAGCACACAGATTACCTCTCAGATAAATAAGCAAAGGCAACCTGCAGGGAGAGAGTTTGTTAGAAGGCCGGTCAGAACTTGGGTTAACTTTAAAGTTACTGGGATTGTGTTGGCAATGGGGCAGGGAAAGGGGTTTGCGTTGACCCTAGGCTTGGCTGCTGGTTTCACAGATGGAGCCAATATCTAGGCGACTTCTCGTCTCCGGGCTGACTGATCGCTTGTTCCCTATCAGAAAACAAACCAGGAGTCGCCCGAGATAGGGGGGGGTTGGGCCTCTCGCCCTGCTCCAGGGCCGCCTGAAACCCGGGAGAGAGCCGCAGCTCTGACAAGAGAGGTTGCCAGCAGCCTGGCCTGTTCGGTCGCCCCGACAGTAGGGGACAAGACAGGGCTCGGCGTAGGCAGCTCCGGGAGCTGGACTGTAGACCGAGCTCGCTAGCCCAGAGTCGCACGCGCTCTTACAGCGGCTCCTGCGCCCTAATGCGGGCTGCGAACTGCCGCGGCAGAGCGGGGCGAGCCGCGAGCCTCCGTCGCCCAGACTAGGGGTAGGGGAGTTTCCTTGTTTGTCAAGTGGGTTACCTGGACTTCAGCTGGGGCCTGCTTTGCCCTCGGCGTGATACAGGACTTACTCGGTGCGCAGGAAACTTTTCCCGCCGCCAGATCCCAGGAGTGGTGTGTGCAAAATGTGCATCCGAGCGCTAGGTGCGATTGCCCCAAACTTGTGGGCTCAAGTTCAAGCCATTTCTTTCCAGAGTCTGAATCTTATTCTCTTTCCTTGCCTCCTTTCTTCCTGCTTCTCTCCCTTTTCCTTTCCTGGCCTCCTCCCTTTCAATGTCAAACTGAGCAGATGGTTTTAAGGTGTGGAGGGCATACACTGTTTACTCCTACCAGTTTATTTGTAGGCTGGCGGTAACTTATGTGTACAAATAGATTCTTAAGGAAAAATAATAGGACGGGGAAAAAAAGAAAGTAGCTTTGATCTATTCTCAGAACCCAAATTCCGTGCTTAATACACCCGCTTACCTCGAAGGGACCCAACCAATAGAAGCATTATTCCAGCCTGTATCTAATGGGCATGTTGATAGATTATTTCAGTTCCCAGCTTAAACTGTCACATCTCGATTAGAACACTTGATACAGTAGCCGTTCACTGGAGGTGTGACTGGTGTGTGTGCATTCGTCTGTGTTGTTTCCATAATGGAAGGAGGGAGTGTCTGGGGGCAGCGAAAGGGGGACGAAAAGAAAGCTGGGGATGCTCACGTAAGTCTCTTTTCTTATCCTGGGCAATAACCTGGTCGACCTGATTTTTTCCCCCTTTCTTTTCAATGTTTGAATTTCGTGCCAAAAGTTTCCTGCAGGGTATAGACAGACACATGCTACCAACGCTATTCTTATTCAAAAGAGAAGACTTAATATCCTCTTTACAGTTTGATGAATTTGAGGCTGAAATTGTAAATGTCCCAGAAAACAGTGGTGTGTGTGTGTGTGTGCGTGTGTAGAAGATGGTAGCAGTGGTCGACCAGTGTACTGGCCATACACTTAATAAATACTGTTATCACAGCACTTGATTCAACCTTTGCTATGATTAAATTTGAGGGACACAGAAAAATACTTGTTTCTTCCTACTCTAAAAAAAATGAGCATCTAAACGACTAGGTATGAATGTCTATGTTTCGAACCTCTTGCAAGCCCTAGCTTTTATGGGATCTTTAAGTCATAAACGCGACTGCTTTATTAAAAGCCGTTTACTCTGCCGGTGAACGGGACCTTCTAGCTGCAGCTGGAGACTCTCTGTTTAGCATTTGTTACGTACAAAGCCCAAGGAGCTCTTTAAGAGCGACATTATTTTTTTTTTATCTTACTGGTTATTTTTCATCCAAGAAATATCAAACCAAAGTGAATTTTCTCTGGCTTTATGTTGGAACCCAACACTTTGGTTTTTAAAATGCTTGCCCAATAAACTTCAAAGTTTGCTACCCAGACGTCGAAATTGTGTAAATTCTATGTTGAACTACTTTCTTTGGTCATTCCGGGGTGAGTGATCTAGTGAGGGATAATCAAGAGATAATGTTTGTAACATATTTTTTTTGTGGCTGCTGCACCCATAATCCGAATATTATTGTCAGAAGTAACCAAAGGTAAAAATTTTTCTTCCTAATAATTTTGACGGGTGATTGACGGGAATCAGCCAATGTTCATCTTTTGAATATCAGATGCAACGGACCCAGTGTGAAACCTCTGGCACCTATTATTTTAATTGCAAAACCTACCTGTATTTTTTCGTCCACCTCCTCTTCAAAAGGAAGCAAGGGTGACATGTGTTGTTGATACTAGCTATGATCTTTTTAGAAGTGCAATGGTTTGAGGATCCCCCACTCCACTCTCTCCTTCTTTACCACTCCCACTCCTAAAGCCCCCACTTTTTCTCCAGTATACTTTTTCCGTGCTTTCCTCCACCCAAGTTCGAGGAGCGCTCACTCGCTCGGCCACTCGGCGAACTCGATCAGCTGTATCTGGGAAATGAGAAAAAAAAAAAAAAAGACCTGCGTCCTGG